CACCGTCAGGTGTGTAAGCAGTGACCCTCTTCCTATCACAATCAATGACGACCTGATGTTCCGTCAACCAATTCATCCTGATGATCACATCATACTCCGACATGTCCATGACCCTAAGGTCCATAGTGAGTAGAATTTCTAAGATCTCTAATTCATAACCTCGACATATCTGGTCCACCCTCACCCTAGCTCCTAGGGAAGAACTCACATGCATTGGCTTACCCAAGGTTTCAACCTCTAAGCCCAAGTCTTTCACACAAGATGCAGCAATAAATGAATGTGATGCACCTAAATCAAATAACACTGTAGCCATCTGGCCTGATTGCAGAGTCCCCGCACGTGAAATAGTAGGGGCCTGTGCAGCTCTCTGAAATTGGTACTGGCTTTCCTAGCCCATAGGGGGTAGTGAGGAGTGTACTGTGTCTGTGGTTGTCCCACCAACGACTATGATTGAGATGAGCCATAGCCTTGGGATTCCTGCCTCTAGGGGCAATCCCGTTTCATGTGTCTCGGCTGATGGCAATGAAAACATGTCCTTTACCCTGCCTGATATGTAATCTACTAATTTCTCCTGCCTTAGAAGGATTGACCCTAGCCTTGGCCCTAATAGCCATGGCTCTGTCCATGCGGAGGAAAAGTCATCTGCCTCTTTCCTAAGTTAGAAGAAGAGGATTGACCCTCCTTCTTCTTGTCCTTGGCACCGGACTCTCGGATGCTCATTGCGTCCTCAATCTCTCTCAATGGTCATAGTTGTGGTGACCATTGAGTCTAAATCTTGCAGAAAAAGACCCATAATTTTGCCTTGGATGGACAACTTCAAGCCATCCTCAAACTTCCTCATCTTGGCCACATCTGTGGCCATATAATCATCGGCGAAACGTGCTACTTTCGTGAATTTAGCCACGTATTCCATCACCGTCATGGTTCCTTGTTTCAAGTCCAAAAACTCTCGGGCCTTTGCATGCCTAGCAGCCGCCGAAAAGTATTTTCCCATGAAGAGTTCCTTGAACTCTACCCAAGTCATAGCCTCCAAGTTCTTGGAGTCCTTCACCCAATCACACCACAATTGGGATTCTCCCTCCAGCTGAAATGTAGCTAGGGTAATCTTCGTGGCGCTGGAGGTGATATCCATGGCCCTCAATATCTTATCGACTTGCCGGAACAAATGGTCAGCCACCATCGAGTCCGCCCCTCCCTTTTAATACCGAAGGTTTATGTGCTTTGAACTTCTAGAGGTTGCTCGCGCCTCCTTGCCCCACATTTGCACCCATCTATGCAACATTAGCAGCTGTAGCACTAGCTTGTGCAATTGTAGCAGCCGCCGCACCAATAGCCTCCACAAAGGCTTGTTGGTCAAAGGTCGGTGGTGGTTGGTTGTTCCGTCTACCCCGAAATTCCCTCCCTCTAGTTGCTATCTACACACATGCCAATAGCAATAAAGCATTTATTTAGTATCCCATGATAGGGACCAAACTTGAAACATTGAGATTTTTCTCCTTGTTTCCCTAGTAGAGTCTATACCACCCACTAGTAAACATTTATACCTGGAACTATTTCGTTCATTTTTTTTCCCACCCCAAGGTTATGTTTATAACCCTAGTGTCCCTTTCCATATACATTTTACCATGTAGATCATTCACATAATGACATAGCATGTAATCATGTAACACAATGTAAGCACATAAGATGAAATATACAATGCATGCAATGGTCTAGACCCAATGCCATCAAGCCCTAGGTAATCCATATACCGATACTCTAATACCAAGTTGTAATGCCCCTAAAACTGGGGATACCATTGACCATCCATCAACCCACGAAAATACCTGTGATTGTCGGTTGATCCGACATCACATCTATCACATCCCTATACCCAGGATTGTAACTCATACAAGGCTTAGTACTTCCTTTAGTTCATTTAATCCTATTGAGGTTCAATGAGTCTTAATATATCTCATTTAATATCCATTTATATCAAGGGAACTAAAAAAAACAAAGTTCAAAAGGTTAGCAAAACAAGATTTTCAGATTTTTGGAAGAGCTACCTGTAGGTGTTTGTTATAACTACCCGTAGAAGTTCTACCTAATCTGTCAAGTCAAGGTCAACGTACGTAGCAGCAAGGATGGTGCATCGCCTATTTCTCGTTCTCGCTCGGGAGCCAAAACGAACACGCCTGCTACCTACTGTACTGGACCTTCGACCAGGCATTCTACCTTTGTCGAAGAGAAACCAACACCACTGCATTGCGCTCGAACAGTTGAGCGGCCGCCGGCCAGCAACTTCCGTGCACAGATATAGATTCATTCTTCGTACCTGGTCCAGCCTCACAACCCTTCGCGGGTTGGTAAGACGGAATTTTACAAAGAAAAGAGAGTGCTCGACCGGAACAACGGCCAACAAAGACCGTAATTACATAGATAACTGCTCCTCCCCTTCTCCGTCTTTAAGGCGAACCGTATGGCGGCTGGAAAGAAAGACGACCTCACCTTCTCGTAGATGGTGTCAGTGAGAGCAATTTGAGTATCCCCCGTTGACCTTCTTTGTAGATAGAATCTTCAATGAGTGGAAACAAGCACCCAACCTAAGAAAGGTGCTTGTTGAGTAAGGCCGGCTTTCTTCGCATGCTTGAGCGCATCTTTCTCATATCGATCAAGGCGAAACTTGAGTTTTCAATAAGGGGCGCGTTAGCTAGGCCGTTTTCTTGCAGGAAAGCTAACGCGCGCCCTTACGTTTTCTTCGCTTGCTCTGCAGTACGAGCCTCATACAGAGCCGCGCCCCTTTAATATGATGAGAAGAAGAGTGGCCGCCCTCTTTTCTTTTCGGCACCAATCCTTATTTACTACTACATCTTTTTTTGGGTGTATAGCTCAGTTGGTAGAGCATTGGGCTTTTAACCTAATGGTCGCAGGTTCAAGTCCTGCTATACCCAAACCTACCTTACACTCTACTATGAGTGAGTAAGGATGCGTAATAGCGTTCAAAGATCACTCTTTGGCCTTTAGACTCGCTTCGGCGACTTCGCCCTTTAAGTGACAAGGGGGGTGAGAAGCCATAGCAATATTCTATTCATTTCGGGCCTCGGTTTCTGCATCATGATCCACCTAACCCATATTAGGGTATTGTGACTGGCATATGGATTTTTAGAATTGTTGGGAGGGGACTTTTTTGGATTTTGGAAGGCGGATATGGGAGAACTGATGTTCGGAGGATTGTAGAGTGACGAAGGAGCTACTTGGGATTGGAGGAATGCCGAAACGCATTGCAGACATGCCAGTGGATATGATTTCCGCTGATTAGATTAGTCTTTCCATCATCTTCTCTAACCTAGTCAAATCAAGTATGACTGATTCCGAGGTTGTCGTGCTGACCGTACTAGTTTTGGGGGTGAGAACCGGTGGCTGCTCACCCTCAGAAT